TTTTCCTTAAATAGAATTAGAAGGGCAGAAAATAAAACCCACATATTATACTTACAATGGAAAAATCTAAGAATTTGAGAAGCACTACTACTTATGTAATCTTAATAATTACCACAGCAATTAAGGAACCTGCATTCAAGTAAAGGGAAGGGGGAAACTACAGAAATAGAACAAAATCATCGAATTTGTAAGCAAATCTAAGATTCACATTTTTCTCTCCTGTCCACATGGAAATGGGTATTGAGTATGTTTACACTGAAAGATTCTTTGGAGTACCATTTCAGAAAGATGACTGAGTGAAAATGTGGTAAAGAACTGACACACATGCAAGGCATCTGATTTTAAAGGCCCCACTTACACACTAGTATCATCAATATGCATCTGCTGAAGCAGAGACCACTCAAGCAAGCAGTAGTTGGGAAGACCTCTCTGGACAACCCATGGTTTAAAAATTCCCACAATACATAAACTGGATACGAATAGCTTATAAAACACAACCAATCTTTTCAACACACACAGCTTCTGGCCTTGAATTACTATGCACTTAGCATGCAATCTGAAAATTGAACAGTCATTAATACCTTATTCTGTACAACAAGAACACAGGGATAATCAAGTGAGAAGCCAAACATCTATTATTTTTCTCTTCCAACACCCTCTACACTGATGTCACACAGAATACTATACTAACTAGATCTCTCTAACCTGCTAAGACTGACTCTGAATTTGGAGCTCACATTGCCTTTCCCATTCCTGACTCCAAGGGTTCTGCCACCACATGCCCAGCTTTGATATGCTGGCCTGCCTACACAATTCATTACATGCCTCTGGGCAACTGATATCGAATGCAAAATATTGAGTAAGAAACCAGGTATAGAATCTGCCATATATCAATGCTACCTCTTTAGATCACAAAACTGCGTGCATACATGCAAACGTACGTACGTACGTACGTGTGTGTGCGTGTGTGTCACAACCTAAGAACCTGATACAATATAAAGGTGAAGACACTACACGTGCTTTTCACCTGTGGACACAGAAGGGCTAAAGAACCAAGCTAAGCTGATTCATATTATTCAGAATCACTCCACATTATTCTGTCAGTTTAAGAGGTCACTCTAGTCTCTTCAGTTTACTACTACCAAATTTTGCATAAATGAGAGTATGGGCTATAACTGTCAGTCAGGACTCGGCTGCATTTGTAGAACGGCATTAACTGCTGACTTTGCTGTATAGTTCTGTCAGGCCCTATGACTTTTTATTCTTTCGATTCTATACTGAGTATTACTAGACCACTGGTGATAACTGTGGCTAAACACTATGACTGCACAGAGCAGTTGATAATGACCTCTACTACAGTCTTCAGTGGATTTTAGGAAAGACAAGAGTTCAGAGTTGGACAAAAGAACATGTTTGGACCAGCAATCTTACACTGGCAGAAAAAAAGCAGACACGTACAGAACTACCCATCTGCCCACCTGCTGCTTTGTGGTTGTGTAAGCATCCTCTGTATTGAGAACGCAGACCCTCGTATCTGTGATGATTTCATAAGGGGCACGCTGCTTATTCATGTTTTTCTCCCTTTCTCCCTTCTCAGCATACATCTTGTATGGAAAATCACAATACACTAAAGCAGCACACAAAATCAGTAATTTTATCTTAAAATGGAAAATACTCCCTTGACTTGTTTTTTTAAATGGTTCATTGCCTTCTATCTTAACCTATATCTAGGTCTCAAAGCCAACTGGCATGTCCTACAACTTGTTTTTGACAACTAGAAACATTCTATGTCAGAAGAAAACAAGAGAAGTACAACAAGAGAACACATATTTAAGCGGCAACATATTAATTTGCAGTTATAATTAAAAATGCAAACCTTAACCATGTTAACTTTCATGAATGTATTTAGAGATTACTTTTACTGGCTGCAATAAACATTTACTGTTCTATTTCTTTTAGAGTAAGAATATAATTACAGCACTGGATCAGACTATACAACCATTTAGCCTGGCATCCTGATTTCCAACAGTGGGTCAGGTGCTTAGGGTATCATCTTCTTCTACTCAGTGCTGATGAGACTGTATCTAGAAGAGTGTCCAGTTTTGAGGCCTCCACCTCAAAAAGGATGTGGAGAACATGGAAAGGGTAACACTGTTTTTGAAATGGAACATACTGGTTTTTTGAAATCAGATCCATCCCTTATTTACAGCTGCTGTGGAAAAAACATCTTCAGAATATTCAGCTCTTAGTAGCTTTATTTGCACAATTTTAACTGTCACTACTTACCAGAATGATGTCAGAAACAGATTCCTGATTTTAGTTTATGAAAATATTATCAACAAACCTGCCAGGAAGGAAAATAACCTTTCCAGTTTGTATTATGGGATACTACTAGGAAGATCAGAAACAACTTAATCTAACTTTTTAACAAAGATTAATCATAGAATATCTCGAGTTGGAAAGGACCCATATAAGGATCATTGAGTCCAACTCCCTGTTCCTCGCAGGACTACCTAAAACTAAACCGTATGACTAAGAGCATCATCAAGACGCTCCTTGGACTCTGACAGGCTTGGTGCCGTGACCACTTCCATGGGGAGCCTGTTCCAGCGACTGACCATCCTCCCGGTGAAGAAACTTTTCCTCATGACCAATCTGAACTTCCCCTCATGCAGCTTCATTCCATTTCCTTATGTCCTATCGCTGGTCACCAGAGACAGGAGATCAGCACCTCCCCCCTCTGTTGCCCCCCTTGAGGAAGTTGCAAACTGTGATGAGGTCACCCCTCAGCCTTCTCTTCTCCAAGATGAATAAACCCAGTGACCTCAGCCGCTCCTCCTAAGTCTTGCCCTCGAGACCCTTCACCTTCTTGGTCATCCTCCTCTGGACACACTCTAATGGTTTGATGTCCTCCTTGTATTGAGGAGCCCAAAACTGCATACAGTACTCAAGGTGGGGCCGCACCAGTGCAGTGCAGAGTGGGACAATCACCCCCCTCGACTGGCTAGCGATGTTGTGCCTGATGTACCCCAGGACATGGTTGGCTCTTTTGGCTGCCAGGGCACACTGTCAACTCATATTCAACTTGCCATCAACCCAAACCCCCAGATCTCTTTCTGTGGGGCTGATCTCCAGCCTCTCATCCCCGGGTTTGTACATATAACCATGATTACCCCATCCCAGGTGGAGAATTCCACCTCCTGTTAAATTCCACGCTCTTGTTAAATTTTCTATGGTTGGTGATTGCCCAGCTCTCTAGTCTGTCCAGATCTCGCTGTAAGGCCTCTCTACCCTCGAAAGAGTCCACACCTCCTCCTAGTTCAGTATCATCGGCAAACTTACCTAATGTACATTCAACTCCTGTATGCAGATCATTTATAAAAACATTAAAGTGCACTGGCCCTAAAATTGAGCCCTGGGGAACCCCACTGGTGACTGGTTGCCAACCTGATGTGACCCCATTTATTATAACTCTTTGAGCCCAACCCGTCAGCCAAGTGTTCACCCAACATATTATGCACTTGTCTAGCTGTACGCTGGACAAGTTGTCCAGAAGGATACTGAGAGACAATATCAAAAGTTTTGCTAAAATAAAATAAAAAAAAAACCAAAACCACACACATCTACTGGCTTCCCTTGGTCAACTAGATGGGTGACCTTGTCATAAAAGAAAATTAAACTGGTTAAGCAGGACTTTCCCCTCATGAACCCGTGCTAGCTATGACCAGTGACTGCACTGTCTCTCAAGTGTTTTTCAATAACTCCCAGAATAACCTTCTCCATAATTTTACCAGGCACTGAAGTGAGACTGATAGGCCTGTAATTACCAGGGTCTTCCTTCTTTCCCTTCTTGAAAACTGGGACATTTGTCAGCTTCCAGTCAACTGGGACCTCTCCAGATTCCCAAGACCATTGGAAAATAACGTAGAGAGGTCCCGCAGTAACATCAGCCAGCTCTTTCAGTACCCTGGGATGAATCCCACCAGGCCCCATGGCCTTCTGCGCATCCAGCTGGAGCAGCAAGTCTCCAACATGTTCAGAGTCGGCTGGGAGTTTATCACCCCCACAGTCACAGTCTTCCAACATGGGGCTCTGGGGGTCCCAGGGCCCATCATCAGTGTTAAAGACAAAGGCAAAGAAGGCATTAAATGTCTCTGCTTTTTCTATGTCCCTATTTGTGAGGTGACCGACCTCATCAAGTAACAAACCAATGTTATCGCTGATCCCCCTTTTGCTGTTAACTTATTTTAAAAAGGCCTTTTTGTTGTCCTTCACAGTACTAGCCAGCTTGAAATCTAATCGTGCTTTGGCCACACGAATTTTCTCCCTACAGTGGTGAAGAGAATCCCAGTAGTCCTCCCGTGTTGCCTGTCCTTGCTTCCAATGTCCATACACTTCCCTTTTCTGTCTAAGTTCTAGAAGATCCCTGCTCATCCAAGCCAGCCTTCTGCCCCGCTTGGTTGACTTCCAACACTTTGGAATTGTCTGCTCCTGAGCTCTTAAGATATGGCTCTTAAAAAGTGACCAGCATTCATGGACCCAATACCTTCAAAACCAGATTCCCAGGGGGCCTTACTAACTAGCTCCTTCAGCAGCCCAAAGTCTGCTCTCCCCATATCCAGGGTCGAAGTTTTGCTGGCGGTTTTTCTCCTATCGCCGATGATTTGAAACACAACTACTTTGTGGTCACTGTGACCAAGACAGCCACCAATCACCACTTCACCCACGAGTCCCTCTCTGTTTACAAACAAGAAATCTAGGAGGGTAACTTTCCTAGTCAGCTTAAGAGTTAACCCTGAAATTCTTCCTTGCACTGAAGTATTACTTCATTTTTGTTTTGGTCTGTCATTTTCATTTAAATTTACAAACATATCTAAGAGAAAAGTTTTAACAATTTCTTTGACAACTAGATGCTATAATGATGGTCATTTTACTTCAATCTCTTAGCTATCTTGATTTATGAAAGTCTCAGGATACAGAGATAAAAAAAGTCTCAGGATATAGACAAATAGATATAAAAAATAAAATAAAAAAAGTTTTAGCATTGATAGCCCCCCTTTTAGCATAGATTTAACCCCCTTAACATCAGGGTTAAAACCAAAACCAGCCTCAGGATTAAGACGTAAATTAGTTTATCATGGTCTAATAAAAGTTTCATCAATCATACTGTACAGCTCTGGTTTTATCATCAATGTTATTCCATCATGTCCTTTTCTTAGATAATTTTTTTAACCATCTATAATGCAACATAAACTACTGTACTATTTCAAACCAGTGAAGCTAAAAAAGTCTGAGTTGTTTTAGCTAGTAACACTTAATTTACTGCAGCGTAACCTGAACAAGCAGGATGTGGTATTCCTGTAAGAGAGGCTTTTTCTCAAGCTAACTCAGTCATGAACATGAGCAATGTGGTTACAACTGCTTTTCAAGGCAAAGCTGAAGACTTTTCCCTCATTTCCTTCTGCAACCTTCTAATGAAATTGAGACCTTGCAACTGGTTATAAGAACAAGTTCTATTACAAAAACACTATTACATTAGCTTAAGAGCAGGGAAATTTCAGTGTCTTTCATGCGATAGAATGGCTAAGAGTAAAATTTAACTAGTTGAAGGCCTGATTAGTCAACTCAATGAAAATATTTTGATGGATTTTGGGTTAGGTTGTGCCGATATGGACTACCAGAGTTTCTTGAATATTTTTCCCCCCTCTAAGTAAAGTATCTAGAAAAACATTTCCATTTTGCAGTACTTTGCATTACTTTAAAAGGAATAGTTCAATTCAGTTGCCCAACAAACACACAATTTAATAGCACAGAATGTGTATTTAATCTTTAGCATCAATCCTCATAATAAGCAAGTGTTACTAGGTCCTTTTGTGATATACTAGATCTGTATAAATGAAAGCAGTCACCAGAATAAGAAGCATTCATCATAAGGAAAGGGCAGCTATTTTGAAAATAGTCTTATTTTCAGAAAGAAAACAGAACAAAAACTCTAGATGTTTAGATGATCAGCATCAAAAGAAGCCTGCAATTTTGGAAAGTGAAATCAACCAGCTTTTTGGTATCAGCTTAATGTCACTGTGTTCAAAAAAGAGAACAAGTTAACTAACTAGATTCAGAGATGGACAAAGTAAAATGATTGTACACAAAATGACACATACACATTTAGGACTTTGGGCTTCTCTATCTCTTGGTTCACAATTTCTGACATATTTTTAGTAAAACAAAACAAGAAATGAAGCATCTATTTTCTGTAGCGCAGCAGTACTTTCTACTTAAGGAGAAAAAATAAAATCACTAAGGCATAATAATCCTATTTGCTTGATTTCGTCATGGTCCAAATCTAGAATCATCTACAAAATCCGCAAGTTCTAAGAAGCCTGGACTAGAATAAGATGTGTATTTTTACCCCTGGATAAGTATTGAGGAAAACCTGTCCAGCAAGTCTGACAAGTCAGTATGATGAAGTCCTTACTCTTATACACATGAACGATGAGAAAATAAACCTTCCTTTCCAGGAAATAGTAAGGACTCTGAAGTGACTATGCAATTACTGGCTTCTTGCTCAGAATCACTGAGGATGGAAGGGACCTCTTGAGATCGTCAGTCCCCATCCCCATGTGTGTCCTGTTCCCACCGTCGCGCCCCGTCCCCCATCAACTACAGCAGGTTGCAACTCCACAACCTACCTGGGCAATCTGTGCCAGTGTTCAACCACCACCCTCAAAGTAAAAAAGTTTTTCTTATGTTTAAACAGAATTTCCTGTATTTCAATTTGTGCCTATTGCTTCTTGTCCTGCCACTGCCATGTATACAAATGAAATTATACATACAGGTACATCAAAGACACTGCTCTCCTACAGATCATTGCAGAATGAAACCATGAAAACTTCAAACGTTCAGAGATTAATACTCACTTCTGCTTTTTTACGTGCTTCCATGGCTTTCATAAGCATCATATGTTGTCTTCTCCTTTCTCGTTCCTATTGAAGCAGGTAAGATTAGAACAAAACTAATCCACATTTTCAAATCAGTAAAAAAGCTGAGTAACAAATTTAGCATTAATAGACAAGTCACAGTAAATACTAAATATAGGACAAGAATGGCCAAGTCTGTGCATGTTTTAGTTCAGGTTTAGAAAGCAAATACAAGAACAATCAAAAGCAAAAAGGTAAAGCAATGAACATGGAGACAGTGTAAAACAGAAGCATACAGATTTACTTATGGTCAGTTGTGATGCTCCTTCATAAGCTGGCAGAACAAAAAGCATAATGGTTGGCTGGAACAGGTCAGTTACCTTACATCTGCTATTACAGAACTTGCAATTTACTTCTTCAATAGCCAATTCGCAAAAATGTTAAAGTGGTCATTTTCAAACATTGCAAATATTAACATTTTTGTAACCAAGCAACAAATTAATATGATTAATTTTCTCAGCTCTAGATCAGTTTTAATCAAGCTAGTGGTGGTGCATATACATACGCAACAACACTTGCATTCACTGATGCCTATCCCTCAATAAATTATGTCAGTAACTTCAAATGCATTACGGAGCCGTTATTCTAGAGCATTACGTATGGGGTTTTTGCCTTAAAAGCTGTAGAGTAAATCTTGGCCCCAGTAAAGGCGATAGGAATTTTATCATCTAATTCAGTGAGGCTAGGATTACATTCTAGTGTTTCATTGTATACTTATAACATTATGTATTTACCACTGACTGAAAGCTAATTTCCTCAGTACCTTACAAACTTAGGAAAGACATCATTCTGATTTCTAAAATAGGTTAATTCGAATTGTACTTAAAACGTCTGGATTCATTCCCAGTGAACGGGACAAGGCTTGCAAAAATTATCCAAGTGACTACTGTTAATTTTGCATTAATTAATCCCTGATTTTATACAGTGGTCCAATTTCTATTGGGACATCAGTAACAGACTTCTGGTTAAAAACCTCATTTAATTATTGCCATGTTCAATTTATACACACGTTCAAGACATGTCTTTTTTTTTCCTTAACAGACAAGACAAGCAGATGTATGCAATGCACTGTGCTGTAAAGCCATGCAGCAGTATGTAATATGACAGCAGCCAGTGCTACATTTTATGCATTGCTATGACAACCATATCACAACCAAATCACAATGCGGTGTTAGATGTACAAAAATAAACATACCCATACCATATCTAGTCTATGCCTCTCCAACTCCTGGTAGAAAGAGTTGGCACAACATTATGAAACAGAAATCACAAAGTCATAAAACCACTTTATAATCCCCCAAAAGACCCCAATACCAAAGCAAAGCAACAAATCATAAGGTGAAAGAAAATTTGTGCAGGAATCAAACCCAGAAATTTTAAAAGGGCATATTTTGAAGATCCCCCCTCCCCCCCCATATAGCTTAAGAAGTAGTAGTTCACAATTGGCATTCTGTCTGTTTGGTCAATTGAATGTATACCAACCTGGTGTTTCAGAAGAACAGCTTGCTGCCTTCGCATCTCTTTTTCCTTAAACAAAAGAAGAAAAAAAAAATCCTAAAATATCTATCAAAATTCACTCGCCAAGTTACATGTTTTTGCCACACTGAAACAGCACATCTGAATTAAATTCTTACTTCCCCACCCCCCATAAACTGACCACAGAGAAGCATACATAGTATACATGACAGCAAGTCTATTGAGTTGGGAGTTCCATGTTAAAATACACCAAATGCCAAAGCAGTAATAGAAGTACATATATAAACTGTATTTTCCAACATTTGTAAAAGACTTCCATAGTCTTGTATACATACAGCCTAGAAAAGACTACACTTGTTGAGAAGCAACAAAGTTTTTTGATACAGTGTGCTTAAAAGAATATTGTGAATAGTCTTACTGCACGAGCATTTTAAGTTATGCAAACCAAGCGTCATTTAAGCAAAACTCATGGTAATGGCACACAAAAAATTACTGTCTCTCTATATATTCATGTGTCTATGTATGAATGTGTGTGTGTGTATGTCACACATACACAAACTTCTGTGTATGCTTCATATATTTATATAAACATGTACACGTTATTCATATGCTATCTCTATTTACAGTTTCATTATCAATGAATATTCTTCCAAATTTACTGCTTTTATACATCAACACATATTATGCACAATAACACCATTCTTGTTTTTGGAGCTCCTCTAAACTAACCTTTATTCGTTTTTCGGCCTCCAGTAATTTGGCATTTGCTGCTTCTTCCTTCTTTTTCTTTTTTGCCTGTGCATGCAAAACAGGTCACACAACAGCACCATCACAACTTGAAAATAATCTTACTAGAAATAAAGTTACGTGCCTTTAAAAGTTCAAAACATCATCACAGAACATGTACATTGCAACAGATTTCTTCCCCCGTGCAGCTTTCATCATCAATCAACTCACAATTCATTCACTTTTTAAAAATTAAGCCAGAATTTCAAGTCCCACTCAGAATTGCTTCACCTGGCTACTATAACTAAGAAAATAAGTATACACAGAAACAATAAAATATAAATGGCAAAGAGATTACCGTTAATTTTTCCACTAATGGAGACTTGCTAGTTAGCAATCTTTCTTTGCTAGTATACTAGCAAACTAGTATAGTATACCAGTATATTCCAGCATATATACAAACCTAGTATTTCAAATCCACTGCACTTCATTCAGAGCAGAGCATGATACTGCTTTAACATCCTATTATTGGAAACTTGTTTTCTACCAAAGGAATAGTTATGCTGTTAACTTTAGCAAATACAAGACTATTTGTGTAGAAAGTTGGGAACTCAAGTGAACATTTGCAAGATTTGGGTCACAGTTAAAATATTTTTCTTAAAAAAAAAAAAAAAAAAAGAAAAAAAAATATCTGTAAGACACATTTTTGAGCTGGCCTTTGAAAGTCCAGGTTGTTAGAGATGTTATATTTAGTTACATTCCTAACTGCATGTGTGACTATTAAAATTTACCTCTAAAATTTGCTGAGCTCGAAGTTCTTTCTCCATTCTGATTTGCTGGATTCGCTTAATTTTTTCCTACAAGGGGAAGAAAGTTATTTCTTTTTAAAAAAACAATATTGAGAAAGTAAGTTTACTTCTACATTTTAAAAAATGACCAAGTTAATACATATATAGTTTTTGTTATCAAGTCTCACATCCATTGTAGTCAATTGTTCCCACGTAACAATGTATGTTTAGAATTTTTACTAGCATTAGAAGATGTCTGGTATATCCCTGAAGGAACTAATACTTAGTTACGCATAGATGCTCATGTTTAAGTTGTCATAGTTTTGGTTTTTGGTTTGTTTGGTTTTTTAACAGCTTTAAGGGGACCACATTCATGACAATGTAAGTAAGCGAGCAGCATTCAAATTCTAGCTGGCAATGGTGGAGCTATTTAGGAATGAATGGAAATGGGAGCTATGACATGAAAAACATGTTTTGATGTGATCTCCCTGAATAAGAAATATGGGGTTCTGTCAAACCACTATTTTCTGCTGTGGTTCTAGCAGCTTTTCAGTTCATTATGGTACCATGGGCAACATGGAGAATCTAAGTACTGTGAAACCCAAAGCACATACTCTGTCAGCCAGTAATATCCAGGTTGCATGTGGGTGACTAATATATCCAGTTAAGTACACTTCAGTTTCTCAAGATTTTCAAAGCATTCAGGTAATTGATGATGAGTTTGGATGCCTTAATATGTCGTTTAGGGGACCGGATTTTATACATGCTGAAGAGTGAAATAACAAAAAAAGTAACCGAAACAGCAGCCACAGGCAGCAAAACACACTTCAGCATGTTTCATCATGGTAAGAAGAAAATGATCAAGTTAAGCACTCCCCAGATGGATGCTGTGTAACCATATTCTAATTTATTCTTTTTCAGGAATTACTTCCTAAAATCTGAATTAAGTCTTATTACATTGATTTAGAAATGCAATCATTGCAAACTTCGGGATTAGTTCAGACTTCCTGTGCTGCATGGGTTTTGTCTGTTAAATAGTAATATCCCAAGCTCATATTAAAGATTTCTTAGCACATTATTTGAGGTTTTATTATCTCAAAAAAGCTGCTTGAGCCACAGTGACAAGGAATGGACCATTATGAAGAGAAGTATTGCAGTACATTCCGTTGGACTTGCTGTAAAGTTTTAACAGCAAAACCCAGACCATGCAAAAGCCCTGCAAGCTGGGAGGCCTAAATCAGAAGCCTGAAATGGAGCTCAATGCTCTTCTCTGTAACAGCAGGTGTTTCCCCAACAGTGAGAGTAAAGCCCATCTGTATGGAAGCCATTGTTTTCCTGTGAGCTGGTCTGAGACTCTAGAACATGGACTACTCTAAAATTTTACTTTCTAGAGAACACACAGTGATGTTTATACTACATTGAAAAATAACTAAAACCAAAACCAAGCCCCTCAGAAAAGATAATCTAAAATATTTAACAGAAAAGGAGCAATCACAGAACAAAAAGACATACAAAATTTCCTGAAGAATAGAGCTCCAATACAGGAAGACCACATGAGATCTTACAAACTTCAGGCAAATCTTACCAGCACCTTACGCTGCTGGGAAGTCCAGCATAAGACCACCTTACCCAGCAAATTAATTCAGAGGCCTTGTTTATACAGTGTTGAACTTTTATTTTCAACATGCAAAGCTCACAGCATGGACCTTAAGTCTCTATTATCCCCCATTATACTTTACAAAAAAAAACATACAAAAGTTTAGAGCATGTACTATACTCTCTCAATTCCACAAAGGCCAGAGTTAATACAGAACAAAATTTTCAGTAGAGATCACAGTAAAGAAGTATCTCAGAGAAGAAAATAAGTATTCTACACATTGGAATCATGAAAATTTTATCAGTTTATAGATCAAGAAGGAATATGGTGTTGATAAATAAGGTCTGGATCTGATGTATTCGCCAATCAAGCAATCCTTGCTCCCTGCACGCCTAAGAACGTAAGGACCACTTTATAATCATAGGATGATGTGAATGGACACAAGCCCAATGCTCTTAAAAAAAGTCTGCGTTATTTGCCTTTCTATAACAAGTATGGGTTACCTTCAAAAGTGGAAACTTTGAAGCTGTCTCTATCTACAAAAGTTCAGAATGGTTGAGGATGGAAGGGACCTCTGGAGGTCACCTTGTCCAAATCCCCCTGCTCAAGAAGGGTCACCTAAGAACCAGTTACCTAGGACCATGTCCAGACAGCTATTGAAAATCTGTAAGGTGGGAGACTCCACAACCTCCCTGGGCCACCGGAGATACAACCCTTCATGCACAACCTAAAACCACCGATAGCCAGCCAGAATCACTGAAGAAGCTAATTACACTATTCCAGTATTTACATAAACAGATACAACAATTTGTTTTCACAGAACTTTTCTTAATTTCTTACTGATATTGGCAAGCAATTACATATGTTGGGTGGCTTAAATCAACACAGACAAAATTGGGATGTCCTGACAACGTGGACAACAACTACAGAGTTTAGAATTTTAAATAATACACACTGTGTGCTCTTTAAAACTAGATTAAAAAATTTACTTTGTAATCAGCATACTTAATTTACTAGATAATTAAAATACCCCTAATTCAGTAACTCAAAACATAATTTAAAGAGCTTATTTAACGATCACATAAAGTTTACCTGCTGCTTCATTATCTTTATCTGCTCCTTTTGCTTTCGCTTTTCTTCAGCTGCCATAATAGCTAACAAACAAGAGCAAACAAAAAATTAGTATAACAACATGACAAGAGGCAGGTAACTTCTCATTAATACTGTTCAAAATAATGTGCTAGCTTGCACAAACTTTCACAAGGAATACTTACCTTGCTGTTTTTTCGCTTCTTTGGCAGCTCGAGCTTGTTCCTGCTTCTGGAGTTTTCTCAGTAGCTTTATTTGTGCTGCTTGCCTAGCTATTTCTGTTACAAAAAGAAAATATGAAGTTCATAAAAACAGTGCTGTCCAACAATAAAGATATAGCTCATATTCCAGACATTTGCATGAGGTAAAGATAGAGAAAACAGTGGATTTGTTTTCAACACATTTATCTTGACATTTCACTATCAACTACCTTTAGTGGTGTCTCATGTACCAGTAACTACATCAACAGCATAAATGAACATGGATACTTTCTACATAAAAGAAAATACTATTTTTGGAGGAAAAAATAATGCTGCTTCATTTAAAAACAGATTTCTTCTTTCTTTTTAAAGCAGGAAACATTTGTCTTGGAGTACTAAATCAACATTCTTCAGAAGGCATGGAATTACTGTTTTCCTTATAAGTCACCTCATGTAATTATCTAATCCTTTTTTAACAATGCAGTAAGAGCACAGTCATCTGGGTCACACTTCTCTTTACTGTGGCTACCTACAGCCAGGCACTCTTCTGCTAATTAGTAACTTCCTGAAGCATTCTACTACTTTAAGTGCGAATATTTATGACATTTGGATAAACTATGCATGGACACACTGATGTAAGACAGCTGTAGGAAGTATCCTCTGGAGGTTGAATTCAGCTTGCTATTCAAAGGTCTGAGGTCCAGGACCTCTTTGATAGCATTCTCCAAAATACTGTCAGCTTCTTGTGCAATGGCCAAGACACAAGCAGACATGGAAAATCCATGTGTAGGTAAGATGATGCTGTAGAAAGCAAGGGTAGTATAAATAGGTACATGACAAGAAGGAAACCTTCAGGGCCAAGGGGAAACCATACAGAAGGAGAAGTTACACCTTAATCAAAACAGAACTAGTAGCTGGAAATCAGAATTTACATTATAGAGGAGAACTTAAAACTACGAACTATATGGAAAGGTCAACAGATGCAGAGGACCACTTAGTCTGAATTGACACAATCCATGAGGAGGATGTAGTTAATGTTCAGCATGCATTTGAAAAGGACAGATGGAAAACAAACACCTATACTGCAAAAAACAGGGATGACAAATCAGACCACCTGTATTTCCATTCAACCAGTATGTGCTGTATTGAGCAAAATTTAAGGGCTTCTAAATCAAGCCAAGAAATCTAAAAAGAAATTAGGGAAACTAGAATTCTTGGTATCAAATGATAATCCAGATGTAATGAACAACTCATGGACACAGCAGAAGGATAATTACGAATACATGGTGTTGCGAGGTACCAACGTTACAGGACTATTGGAATAAGATGTACAGGCAGAAGACCAGCTTTCTATGCAAAGTGCAGTATCAAGTCACATAGCATAAGAACAATGAATGAAGAGACATTCATGTAGTCCATCTGGTGGAACCCTAAAAGAAGCTATACAAAAGCAGTCTTCAAGCATGCATACTTCAAGTGAGCTACCTAGAAGCACTTCAAAAAAATGTATACTTGTCCAGGTAAACACTGAGCCGCATTTCAAAAACGAAAAAGGTAGTCCCTATGTGGCTCTTCAGAAAAGGAGGCCGTCATAGGAAAATGTAAGCATGTAAAAAATGAAAAGCTTGTTCAAATAAGAACAGGAAAGCCTATGACATGCCAAACTTAAAGAGTGAGTTAGAAAGGCTAAAAAAGAATTTGAAGAGCACCTTGCAAAGGATGCCCGAGCAGACAGTAAAAGATCTTTACATACATCACAACAGGAAGCCAGAAATGCAATCAGTGGGACCTAATGATGAACAGGATAGAAAAAAAGAGCCTTAGAAAAAAAGGTTACTGAATTCCTTGTGCCACTCTCTACTGCTGAAGATGTTGGGTAGATTCCCCTACTCAGTGCATTATCTACAGCAGACAGGTCAGAAGACCTAGATGAATTTGCAGTAAATATAAAAGAAGTATTAGATCAAGAAGGCAAGTCAGATGTTAACAGATCAACGGAACAGGACAGAGTCAGCTGAAAAATCTGAAGGAACACTAACATGAAACCACAGACACATTGGTCTGGGTGTTCACCATATTATTAACAACAGCCACTGTGTCATAGGATTGGCAAGTCCTATGAACAAAAAAAAAAGGGCTCTAGCAGCAGCCTTGGAAACTGCAGATCGGTTAGTCTGATTTTCCTTTCCTATTGAGGTGGTAAAGTCTTATTGTACATATTATGTCTTACATGTACTTACTGAGTACATTATAAAACACCATCAATTCAGACAGTCAGCATGGCTTCTACAAAGAGAAATTCTGCCTAATTTTGGGTTTCAATGAGAGTGTCAGTAACAGGGAGATAAAGAGAATCTAATGGACATAATGTATTCAGAATTTCAGAAAGTATTTAACTAGAGTCTAAGTCAAACATTATTAATAAAACTAAGCTGTTATGTCATTGAAGGAAAGCTTCACAGACTGAAAGCTCTTTAAATGATAGCAGGTGAAGGGCAGAGATCAGCAGTCACCTTTTGTGATGAAGAAGAGTTCGTAGAGGGTTTCTTCACAAATCAATATTAGAATGAGCTTTATTTAATATCTTTTTTCATCAATGAAACCTGTAAAGGGGACTGCAAAGTTAAATCCCAAAATATAAAGATGATATTAAGCATTCTGGAAAATCCAAGGCTATGCTGACAGCAAGGAACTCTGTAAGAGCCCTGCAAAACAGTGGGCAAAGGTAGCAGAGGAGCTTCATCATAGATAAATGTAAGGTAATACACCTAGAAAAGAAATATTGAAATTAGAGGACACATAAGGGGATCAAAGGGATGGAACAACTACCTTCTGAGAAAAGACTAGAAATACTTGGTGTCTCTTCAGGTTGGAGAGGAGAAGACTAAGGACAGAGAGGATCAAGGTCTGCAAAATCATCAGGGTGGTGGATAACTTAAATTAGAGAACAGTTATTCTCCAAACCCCACAATAATGGAACTAGGGAACACCCACTGACAGTAACAGAAGATCATTTTTTAGAATTAAAATGGTCCAGTAGTTAGCAGACTTCTGGAACTTGTTGCCACAGGAGGCTGGTAGAGCAAACATTGCCAAGAGGTTAAAGAACAAAGAACAGGCTAATTCATGGGCAACAGTTCCATAAACAGAAAATAAATGGAGCAACAAAAACATGTGCTCTACAATACCACTCATAAAACACCTCAGGATGCCATGGTGCATGTATGAGGAAATAAATGGACCAAGAAGCGACCAGATTCACATGCTTTATCCAAGCAGCATCTCCTATGGCCACTACTGGAGACAGAGCTCTGCACATGATGAACCCCTGGGCTGAGCCACTGAGACATTTCTTACGTTCTCATGTGGGGAAAAAAGTATCAAGGTAGATATGAACACATGTAACATCAAATATTACACATTCTGAATCTTCTTGTATATATAGACCATATGTTTTTGTTCATTTTATTAAATGCTACAGTGCTGGTGGGAAAATAGACATGGGAGAGTGCTTCTAAATACTTCCCCCGCCCCTTACAGTACCAAATAAAGGGAAAGGGAAGATACAAAGTGAAGCAAAATGGCTTAGTGACTAGGGCTTATCTTTTCCCACTGAGAAGAGGAGACTTCTGGAATCAGTTACTGTGTCTCAACAATAAATACACAGCCTCGCAGCAAATGCTATGATGCTTCAGCAGCTGACACAGTTTCCTAATTCTCAGACTGAACAAAAGCTGGCGGTGACCTTAACACTGAGGTGAAACAGCTGTGCAACACTACAAGACATACCACGTACTAAGGTATTTCTAAAATGGCCTCTCTGTCCATGTGTCCAAAGCATTACCGTTGCATGTCTTAAATATATCTATACAGAACAGTACTCTTTGCAGGCAACAAGGGAAAAAGATGCAAAAAATCGCACCGAGGCACATATTAAGGGCGCATGTACTGTTAGCAAGGACATTATGCAAAATACAAAGTAGCTACCCAAACATGTCCAGAGTCAGCACACGGAAGAACAGTTAAGTCTTAAGTTAAAATAAACATCCTGCCTCCTGGGCTGTAAGAATTTTTCATATTGGATTAGATGCATTCAGAAAATATGATAAAGTTATGGACTAAAGAATTGAAATTCAAAAGTCATGTACCTGATGTTTACTTAAAACCAGGCCCTCACGCTTTTGATATATAGTAGTACTTGATGTCATGAAAGTTCTACTGTCAACATTGGTACTACTTATTATAGGATCCTATTCAACCTTATGGGCATTTAAATCTTGTCACTATCAGGGATTTCACAAGGAAAGTATTTCCCCTGGAACAGCCAAAAGTTTAACAGAAATGCTAACTTCAGTGGTTCTCAATTTCGATGTCCGCTGTTATTTGAGCTGATACAGGGGAAAACAAAGATCTGTTAATTTTTCTCAATTTAAAAAATATATCAGTGGTAACCAGATGATTGAATGTCTGCTTTTTTAAGTTTTATAAGTCTAAATAAAGTAACTATAGAGTAAGCTCTTAGACACACATTTACACTCACACTTCTTCCTTTGAATCATATATACATTTACTGATCTTGAAAAAGTCTTCAAGAAAAGCATGTGACAAATTTCAAAAATAAAATGTTGTGTACTAATATCCTAGTGAAACACATCATTCCTCTTTAGAAAAAAACATTAACTCTCTATGTACTGATACCCTCTGTTTGTGAAAACAGTAACATACTTCTTACCTTGAGCCTGGAGCTTTCTTAAAAGCTTTGCGTCGGTGTTGTCTAGAAATTCAGTGCTACCAACATTCGGAGGTCGGCCTTTGCGTCGTCTCATTCTTGACTCCTCTCTAGAGTGCTGTCTGTCTGGATTTGGTGGTCGTCCTCTACGCCCTTCCATAGCTCTGATACGGGGAATGACTTCCTCTTCCTTCAGAAGACACCACTGCACACCCTTTTAATTGACACATTTCACAGACAGGTATTATAAACACAGATTAAAAAAAGGAAAAATAAATCTAAGACATTTGAGAACATGAACAGCAAGGGATTTTTTTTTTCCCCCCAAGTAAGTTAGATATATATATAAAATATGCGAGAGCTGTGATGTACTATTTGGGTAGTACAATGTTTTGATGATGCACAGAAGCTATATATTGAGAGGTTATCACTACAAACTTTTGTAAATTGTACTACGATGCAAGATTTTGAAGACTATTCAGTTACTACCTAGCAGGTATGCCATTACTGTGTTATTTTTAATTATTTCTGACCAAATCGCTTATTGCTCAACCCCTTTTTAAAAGGTGAAATAGATTCTTCCTTATTATGTAAATGCAAAAGTAACTACTCTGCTTTCACATAATCCAGTACTCAACATGAAAGAAACAAATGTGTCAAGCTATGAGTCACTGTCTTCCAACTGTTAGTGTTTACAGAAATTTTGACATACATAACAAGCAAAGGCAGTACTGTATTTTCAAATATTGCTTTCTGGGGTGTTGTAGATCTCAACAACTGAGTTGAAAAAACACAGACTCATTTTGATCTTAAAGTTTTATTTAGTACAATTTAGTTCTCAACCTCATCCACTGCAAGAAAACCGATTTCTGCGCCAACTTCAAGCAATCAATAGTTTGTAACTTTTAAGAATCCATCTATCTGAAATAAAAGTTATGTTAACTATATTCTCTAACTAAACAAAGTATGCAGCAATACATTCAACCCCTTCTTTCACTATTACTGCTGTTTGTTTGTGGAATCCCCAAAACAAATACTGAAATACTTTGTTAATACAAATACCCAAGTTAGTCCTCACACAGAAATTGCTTTACTTTAACTGATTAAAAAGTAGAGTTTATTGCATCTACTGAGCAGAACAGGAGCACAGACTATCTGATCCTGTTTGATTGAACACTAGTATTTCAAAATTGTAACATCTTTTACCATTTTCCCAAGTTTTTGAAAAATGCTTCAGGACTACTCCATACTTTGCCTTAAAAAGGTTTGTAAAAGATTTTGAAAATGTCTGCTAAAGCAAGAATGAAAGTTGGTAACTTATAAAACACATTAATTAAATATCTATTCAGAAAAAATACATTTGCATTACCAAAGTTTTCACATTTATATGCACATAAATACTGAAATCAAATTTGCTATACTATAAAATACATTTTTTTATTTGCTTATTCTGACAATTTGTCTTTTAATTCTTTCTGCTCATTCTTCATAATTACAAATGTTTAATGTAAGACTTGACAAAGGAAATGGCGTTTTGTTAATGGAACATTCAGATTCCAAGGAAGCTATCAGTATCTGCAAAGATACCTTTTTTTGAAGTATGGATCACTCCCAGTTAAGACCATCCCAAGAGTACATCACACAGTTAACAGACATTCCAAAGGGCTTTGTTATTAGCTATGTTCCTAAAAACAACCTGTTCAGAATCATGACCATATCACTATGTGTATAATGTAACATCATTGAGGACTTTTTAATCCAAAATAGTTACCTCTACCACTTAAACAGAAGTTAATTCATCTTCTATCTTTAAGAATAATACTACTTGGGCATACACTTTCATCTTACTGTCTAGTACCTGACTTAGAATTTATCACAGGTTCATTTTGTTGAGCAATGTATGCTAGATTTAATACTATACTTGTCACCTACACCAACCTCCAACCTAGGAAATCTTATCCCATAAACTGCAAGTGCTGGGGGGAGGAGAAGGTTAAAAACAAAGGCAAAATAGAATTCAAAGAAAAAAGGAGGAGAAGCAGCCATCATTCAAGAAGTACCTTAGATCCTGCAATGGAGATTGCTCTTGCTCTGTATTCCTATTTTCTATGGTTAATGATACTAATGACAACAAATATGCAGAAAAGAAAGATGGAGGTCCACAAGATCATTAGAGCCACAGAGGCTATGGATGTGTATTACATTTTCCTAATGCCTCCCAAAAGAGAAACTAGAGGCCATCAAATGAAGCCAGTAGAAGGTTCAATAAGCAAAAGGAGCTGGCATTTCAATGAATGGGGAGAAGACTGTTTAATGTCCTGCCAAAGGACGTTGTGGATGCAACAAGTTTCCACAAGTTTAGGCTCTGCAGAGGGACCTGGACAGGCTGGATCGATGGGCCGAGGCCAACTGGATGAGATTCAACAAGGCCAAGGGCCGGGTCCTGCACTTTGGCCACAACAACCCCATGCAGCGCTACAGGCTTGGGGAAGAGTGGCTGGAAAGCTGCCTGGCGGAAAAGGACCTGGGGGTGCTGGTCGACAGCCGGCTGAACATGAGCCGGCAGTGTGCCCAGGCGGCCAAGAAGGCCAACGGCATCCTGGCGTGTATCAGAACTAGTGTGGCGAGCAGGAGTAGGGAAGTGATCGTGCCCCTGTACTCGGCACTGGTAGAGGCCGCACCTCGAATACTGTGTTCAGTTTTGGGCCCCTCACTACAAGACGGATGTTGAGATGTTGGAGCGTGTCCAGAGAAGGGCAATGAGGCTGGTGAGGGGTCTGGAGAACAAGTCTTCTGAGGAGCGGCTGAGGGAGCTGGGGTTGTTTAGCCTGGAGAAAAGGAGGCTGAGGGGAGACCTCATTGCTCTCTACAACTCCCTGAAAGGAGGCTGTAGCGAGGTGGGGGTTGGCCTCTTCTCCCAAGTAGCTGGCGAAAGGACGAGAGGAAATGGCCTCAAGTTGCACCAGGGGAGGTTTAGATTGGACGTGAGGAAAAATGTCTTTACTGAAAGAGTGGTTAAACATTGGAACAGGCTGCCTAGGGAAGTGGTTGAGTCACCATCCCTGGAAGTATTTAAAAGACGGGTAGATGAGGCGCTTAGGGACATGGTCTAGTGGGCATGGTGGTGTTGGGTTGACGGTTGGACTTGATGATCTTGGAGGTCTCTTCCAACCTTAATGATTCTATGATTCTATGAAGTTTAAGAGAAGACAAGACAAAACAGTCCAGAACAGATCCATTAAGGGTTAAGCAGGAGTTAATTCACCATCTATATTATGCGCTCAGATATCTTTTAAAATCTGACCCAAAATACGTTTCTATTGAAAGAATGTAAAATCTGATATTCTGTGGATTTTCAATATTCCAAAGAAAAAATATGGGGGTTGAGAATCAGGGACTTCCATAAAATCTAAGCTTCACTACACAAACATTAGAGAAAAAACGGGAATAACACTGTGAAATGCTGTGTTTTGTCATTGAAACTAATCAAAGTAAGAACTTAATTCAATTTCTCATCTTCAGGCATCTACTGTCTATTGTAATACTGTACTGTAATCAGGACATTTGCCAAAAAGGCACCAGATAACTATGCGTGGAAGCAGAATCAGGCTCAAAGCCTATTAACCAAACTATTGAACAAAACCATAGGCACTTTGCAAGAAGCAGACATCCTCATTAATTTCAGTTCAGATTTGTGAGAAAAAGTTAACAACAAAGCTTTTTAAATTGAATTGCACAATTCATTATAGGACAAACATTTTAAATTCCAGTTTCTAAAAAAGGAAGCAAATAATTACTACTACATTACAAATGCATATGACAGCTGATTTTATAGTTGGCTGTTCTGTATGGTATTTCTATTGCATCTGTAATAAACATTTTAGACTTCTAAATACTTATTCACGGAATAAGTCTCGTAAGTAAACAACAGTAAGTTTAAGAATTGGCTTAAAAGAGGTAGACTTCATGCCTCATAAAGATGCGCTGTATTTGTTCCAAGGCAGCACCATAATCAGATACTCTGAGAAAGACTAACGTACATTGAAGTTACTTCACACCAAGGAGATGGCAAAAAGTACTTTAAGCAGTTTCCACCTTTCCTGTTCCTAAATGCAGCTGCCTTCCTAGGCAAGCAGACTTGTTGGAAAAAAAAAATTACATTATTTTCACAGCTTTATGCAAAATATTATTGGGGAAAAAAGTGCATGCCATGTTTACCATGACTTAATGATTACTCCCAGAGAGCTATATCCAGGTTAAAAAGTCTGTATTTCACCCTTACTGATATTTCATCTTCAACTAAAACGGACCTGAACAGAGCTGCATGAAGAGTCAAGTTTTCTCTAACTACATAATGACCCTGCAAAGGAAAGGGCTGAGAGAGCTGGGACTGTTCAGCCTGGAAAAGAGAAGGCTCAGGGGTATCTCACCGATGTGTATAAATACCTGGAGGGAGGGTGCCAAGAGGACGGAGCCAGGCTCTTTTCAGAGGTGCCCAGTGACAGGATGAGAGGCAACGGGCACGAACTGAAATACAGGAGGTTCCCTCTGAACATCAGGAAACACTGTCACTGTGACTGAGCACTGGAACAGGTGGCCCAGGGAGGTTGTGGAGTCTGCCACCTTACAGATTTTCAACAGCTGTCTGGACATGGTCGTGGGTAACTGGCTCTTAGGTGACCCTTCCTGAGCAGGGGGGTTTGGACAAGGTGACCTCCAGAAGTCCCTTCCAACTTCAACCATTCTGTGAGTCCATGATGGATACTCTTGCTGTTATATATTAATCCAAGCCAGCAAGATGCAATCTTAGAGCACAGCTCAGTATGACTCCACAACACTCTCTTCCACCTACTACTTGATGCAGTATTCCTATCCATATTACTCGAACTCATAAGGACCCGTGCCTTCTCCATCGCCCCAAATCACATTCACACCAATCTTTCTAAATCACAGCAGTTTAAAGCCTACAGGTTCTGTCACTGAATTTCCACGTTTGCCAAACTTCAAACATTCCTCTAACCCTACTATTTCATGGCCCACTTCTGCCAGATATGTTTCTCTGTTAAAGCAGTTCACTGCTTTCAGTAACCCGTAATATCTGGTTGCTTGTGTACCAGGAGAAACACAGGCACTATCAGAAACAGGTAACCCATGTATTTTTGCCTTGCTATAGGTAATTCTTCAACATAACTGATTTAGCCCTTAGATAATTTTCTTCGCATCTTGTTCCATCTTTGAGCTTTGTGAAACTTACCCAATCACTTTGGATGCATGCTGCATGTCTCAAAAGATGACAGAAACATATAACGAAGAAAGGGAACAGAATGGAACGTGAAAGGCTATACAGAATAATTGAAATTACAGCAAAAGAAGAAACAAAATTCCTGGAACTACCTCCAGACATCCATGAAGATATGATTATCACATATTGTTTTGAAGCTGGACAATTTTAAAAATTTCAGTTAAAAAGGTGCAAATTCTGTTCATGAGATATCAGTATCACATACTGTTTTACTAGGTGCGTATTAACAGCCTGAGTGTAGCTCAACTGTTTACATTATAATCTTCTCATTCAAAATCTCATACATAAGATGTAAATACATTTTAGCACATCTGAAACAGCTGCCCTCGGTCCCCCACACACCCCTTTTTTTCTTCTTCAGGGAAACTTTTCCTTTGTCTAACCAAGTCTCAATGGAACCTACCCACAAACCACACAAGTGGAAACTACAGTAAGATGTACAGCAACTGAATATTCATATTGCCAACCTTGCCTACAGAAACCTGCCCTTCCTGATGCCTTCATTCTGAAGTTTTAAAGTATCAAAGAAGGGCAAAATCTGCAAATCATCTCATTAATTAAAGGGAAAAGAAGGAGATAATTAGAAAAGGGGACAAGACTAATGAAGTAATATGGGCAACAGACACAAAAAAGGTAACAGGGTAAAAAGAGAGCAGATACCCTGACATTACATTATGTTCACAGTATAAGGAATTATTTCAATCAAGCCATTCAGGTACATAATGAAGTTCACAACTACATGAACTTGTAACTGTTGTTTTATGAAGGCCAAACATGAAGAGGGTTTAGCAATGTTTTACCCTGTAAGCCAGGAATCAGGAAGCACCACCTAGAAGTAGCTGCTTACTATGAACTCAGTCTTCATTGCTTTCAAATTTATACTATGTAAATGTTAGGTATTTCTACAGGGTATCACAAGGACATAAGGCTTAACTAGAACCTGAATTCAAGACTGCCGAGAGCACGATGTCTGTCCACATTCCTATAGTAACATATTCAGGACAGTTATCTTTTAAAGAAGCAAATATATTCACTGACCAAAGTCCAAAAACTTTCGTGCACATCCTGAAGAAATGGCAACATGATCAAAATACAGTAACATAGTATGGCACAAATGTAGTATTAATTTCCTTAAAATTCTAAATTTACTTATCCTTGTCTGGTTTACCCACACAAAGTCTAACAGTTCTACCACTGTAAAGTGTAACTTGTATAACTCAGCATTCCTTCCCATAAAAATCTCACGCTTCAGGAAGCTCAGACGGTATTCTCGACACAGGAAACACTTGTATTTAAACACGTATTTTACATATATTATGCACATAAACACATGAAAAGGGTGTGATTTAACACATACACATAAATTACTATCAATATTAGGTTTATACAGTAAAGGAAGAAATAAGAGTTTTAGTCAGAAATATCTGAACACTGACTAAGACAAAATATGTAGCTCGGAGTTCTTTTGTACTAGACAAATCCAGGCTCAGAGCTGATCATAAGGCATGCTGAACTCCTGCAACCTCCTAATAAAATCACTGAGAGGAGCGGTTTTCAACACTGCCCAGGATCAAGCTCTCAACGTCTCAATATAACTACTATTAAGAAATATGCACAATTTTTAGAAAGAATTAGCTAAAAACAGGCAATGCTTCAGATGGTAGCAAAAACTACTTCACCTAAATTTAAGTTAATGTTCCTTGGATCAAAGACTTTACTTTTTAAAAAGTGGATACCTGCGGTCCATCTCTGGCTTCATAGAAGTCACCCACTCCTATTTTTGCACTGAAGCTGAAATTGTCCCTTGAGATATCCATTATTCCATTTCTGCTGAGATACTGAAAAAATCACATATTTTTCCACTTCAGCTTGTAAATAATTACAACCCAGGTTTGATGTACAGCTAACTTCGTGAGTGTTATGTTTTGCATATTCTATCAAAGGGATATGCATTTATAGGAGATCAAATCAGTAACAGACTGAAATACATTACGCCTCACATCACAGCGTATTTTGAAATAAGTATCTTTATTGGAGGGAAAAAATGGCATTTTTTAATTGCAAGCATGCTTAGTAGCATTAGAACACAGAAGTTAAAAAAAGGAATGTACCTTTACTACTTCAGGATACTGTCTCAGCTTCTTTCCACAAGGTGCAAAATATGCTACTTCTCCTTGAAGACGACCACCAAAGTTTCTTATTCGGGTTTCTCTTTGCCAGCTAGGGTAATATGAAATAGTTGCATACAACAATACACTTTATAAAAAACAAGTAATTAATGTTGATTTAAGATTTTTACATAAAAGGAAAAAGGCAGATATCTAAAATGTGACAAGAGTATCATAAATCAAATAGGCAAAACCAGAAATTGTTATTATGTAGATTGTCTAAACTCTCACTATATATGGGTTTATTTGTATCAAGCTACTTACATATCACCAGATTTTAAATGGCTTAGAACTATATTTCAGGGAGTTATTTGGAGTCTATACTGGCTCAGATCTAACCATCAGGATTAATTTCCAGCGGCAAAACTGCTAAGAGACAAGTCATGTTTGCAAAAGAGCAAATCTGATGCACAAAAATTAACACATGAAATATGCTGACACTTTTAAAGAGATCCACAGTCACTGTGAGTTGGAAATCTAAATTGTTGAAGCCCTTTCCTTATTATTCAGCCTCAAAAATTTTTAAACTGTCATTTCTTTACCAACTGACTTTTGAAGGTATTATCTCCCTTTAAGGAATATCAAGTATATACATAACCTACCCATATTCAAGAGGCACACGCAGCTCCCGTTCATCTGTTACTCTTCGTCTTTTTGAAATACCTAAAACAGAATTTCTGATTAACACCTAAGAGAATTTACAAAATGAAAACAGTATGTTCCTAAAATATACTTTTTATCCTTATATCCTCAAACCAAAAGATAAATCACTTTTACATTCTAACCATTACATACCTCAAGTACCAAGAAAATTAATGTAACTATTCTCCTTTTGAAATACATTTTCCTCTAAAGTTTCCTTTAACCTCTTCTGAAATTGTAAACAGAAGAAAACCTCATTATGCCATACTGAACTGCTTGCCTTGTTTGGCACTCTCAGATACTGCTAAAATAATTCCTTGCACACCTGTTTTTCTATAACTAGATCATATTTAAATTTTTGCAGTACACAAGATGAAAATAAAAACACTCTTTACTTTAAAAATCCATGCATTATAATAGGCTCAGCCTTCAAAGAGCACTGTGTATAGATTGCAGTCAACTGCCAAATGCAGAAAATTTTCAGGATTATTCCAGCTTTTCAAGGTTCAAACAGATGATGTGTTTGGTGCTAGTCAAGAGACTGAATCAATAATATGATAGAGACAATTGCCAGATGTGGGGTTTTGCGGAGTGCCAAAGGCTGATACTTTTCTCAGGCCTCTTTGAGAGAACCACAGGACATGAACTATGTACACAGACAAACTTTTGGAAGATGCATTTCTCAAAAAGGTAGTTTGGACCTTGTGTAAAGAATGTGACATCTCTCTTCCCTGTGGAAATGGACATGAAAGAGTATCGTTATCAGACTGAACCCTTGAAACTTGCTCCAACCGCTTAACAGCCAGGAGGAGTGTCATATGGTACAATGGCACAGGTTTCCAACTGAGACGCCTACACGATCTGGAAGCAACTGCTAAGAGTCCTCTACAGAAAGCACTGAGGAAATGCCCGTGCTTGGATGCCAAACTTCTTGGACACGTCTGCAGTCTTAAACTAATATGACTGCCTATTACATTACTTCCAATAGTCACAGTTGAGGGAGGGAGATTGCTTGTCCAAATACAAGTGAACTGAAAAAATGAGTTGTCCAGTGAAAAACAGATACAGAGAAGAGACACAAGACCTCTTCAGTGACTGATCAGCTTTAGGTAAAATGGACACAAAAGTATTTTAATTGTGTTACGGTGATTCTTACTAGGAAAAAGTACTACACCTAAAACAAGGACACAAAATTATTTCATTCTACCTCTCACCTCCGTAAACAGACAAAAATCCGCTATCAGCCTTTTCAAAGCATCATAAATCAACACAGATTCCCAAGCAAAAAAAATTAACTTTGCATTTTTAAAATTTGGATTACTCCTAATGCATGGGAAATCTTTTACAAACTGTGTGATTAATAGGTTTGTTTCTGGGAAAAATATGAAGTAGATCACACTACAGTGCTTCAAAGTTAATGCCCTTGATGACATGGAACGAAATTCCTATTCCACTGAATCCAAATATAAAAACCAATTTATGAGTGGATGTCCCCATTTAAAATCTATTTACTTGCATGTTAATTAAATATCAAGTTTCTAATTCAAAGTTGTAAATATACAATTTCATTTAATTGTTACCATGCAAATTGAGAAGTGTGACTTTCAAAAATGCATTCTTTTCTGTAGCAGTAGTAATTAGTAAATTTTACAGATTAGTTGCCAAATAAAGGATTATAAACACTATATAACATCAGGCAAATGCTAAATGTACTTTTTATGAACCTTTTAAAAATAATTCCTTGCATGTAAATCCATAAATTCTACTGAGAATTTTGAAACAACAATGAATGAAGTTATATTTTTACTAAATACAGCTATTAAACTTGTTGAGGAAGGGGCAGAAATAGAAGATTCAGAATGCAAACTACAATGCATAGAAATTAGAAATAACTAACTAGTTTAGAATAAAATGGTAAATAACAAAGACTAAATAATGAAAAGTTTTAATGTAATAAATATCAACTCTGGCTATTTCATCCTACCTTCTCTCAAATAATTATACAAGCTAGAATGTCCTGGACTAAGTGTAATGTTCAGGTCTTGAGAACTTGCAATTCTGCTGACTTGATTTTAATGTCTGTTGCAAACACCCGTGAAAAGATCACAGAATAGACCAGGTTGGAAGGGACCTCAAAAGATCATCTGTTCCAACTTTTTGTGGGAAAGGGAGCCTACATGACATTATCTAGCACCCTGTCCGACCATATCTTGAAAACCTCCAGTGACGGGGACTCTAGCACATCCCTGGGGAGGTTGTTCCAGTGAATTATTGTTCCTACTGTAAAAACATTTCTTTCTTATGTCAAGATATCACTTGATACCAGTGTCTAAAATACTTTTATAATTACTTTTACAACACATGCCACTTAGACATTACATTGTACTATAACAAGACATTCAGATACCACAGTGTGTACTTGGTGTAAGAGTAGATGGTGCTGTCCCAAGAAAAACCGCAGGCTGGGACTCAGGACATAAGGCAGCTGGTGCAGAGCTTGGGGTCTTTGCTACTTGGAGGTTAAGTGGGGTGGAATGAGCTGCAAGACCAGTGGAAGAGCTCTTCACAGAGGACGAAGTTTTATTCAGCTTCAGTGGAGTTTTCTCTCCCTCAGTGTCTGTATCCGATTCATCTTGATCTTTATCATCCTCATCATCTTCATCCTCAGACCCTTCTGTATCTGACTCAGAATTACTGTCAGACTCTGTTTAAAAAAAAATGTGGCAAAAGGCACATTATGACGATAACTAATGGCAAATACATTTAAGTTCTAACACTTGCGAAGTCTGCCTTATTAAATAAGCTCTTCTGACTTTAATTTTTTTTTATAACATCTCTTGACTATAAATAGAAGGTTATAATTAACTACCTAAACTTTAAAATTACTACAAATATCACAGCATAAAGTAATTCTGCATGATAATGCACTGTTGTTTTGGATACAATTCTTTGTTTTTCCATGAGGAGATGAGAGACAGAAGCTGCAGTATTTTAAGAGATTACGTCCCCTAGAATGAGCTACAGCTAAGACATCCCCTGTGAGCCAGGCAGTGGTTGAACACTACCACAGGAAGGGCACTTCACAGGTTGTGAAATCTAGCATGAAGAGGAAGCAAATGATGGAACTGGGTACAGGCTGAAAGGTGTCAGAATTGGAAGTGTGGCGATCCGGGCAAAGGAAGAGTTAGAGTAAAGGGTAGACAGGATAAGGAACTGAAGATGGGCTACAGCTGTGAGGGAAAAAAAAAGAGGATTTGTATAGGGTGTGTGGATGAGAGGGGGAAAGAGAATGATGAAGGCGGGGCTGGACCCAAGGGATATCAGCACATGAGGGAGAAAGGAGTGCCTGGGAATACAATCAACTCTTTAAAACAGGCCTTGCCTTTCTGAATTGCATAAAAGCCTTTAAAACAGTAGTCTGAACGCTATCTATGAACACTGCAGCCCTTACAACTGCCCTGGTACTTTTCTCTAATCTTGCTCATTGACTACTGTGCTCCTGAATGAAGCCTAGAAACATGCTTTTCTTGCCACTCTTGACAATTTGAAGGCCTTTGTTTAGTCCCTCTCTGGCTGGGGAAGCCTGTTCTGCAGATGGGCTCTGCCTGCCAGAATAATTAACCATCAGCCAGCCTCTATTCTCCATCCCCCTCCTGAGCACCTTGCCACACAAGCAGTACATTAGCTGCAGGCTGGGTGATTCATCTGGAAGGTGGGTCTCTGACAGCCTTTCCAGAAGGTTGTGGAGCCATCTTACCAGGACAGCTGAAAGTATACTTGCCATATGACCAAGTATCAGAATACCCAAAACATGATTTTGGATATGACACAACGGGCGACTGGCAGACATGTGCTACTTTCCAGGATATCTGTAGGACGCTGTGTGAGCCATGCCGCCCCAAAATTTCCTACCCCTATTTTAAAATATGGTGGGAAATACATGTTTTCAACACTCAAAAAATAAAGTTTCTGCTTTTCCTATTAAAAAGGTTAAACCACCTGATTGGCTATCATCAGAATCATCATCTTCATCGTCCTCATCTTCATCTTCATCGTCGTCGTCATCATCATTTGAGTCGTCAGAGTCCTTACTGCTGGGGGCATCTGAGTCTAGCCCTCTGAACTGCTCCACCACCAGTTTTGCAGAATGAAGGCGGTGTTGTGTTTTTACTGCATTTACTGCATTATTGCTGACTGTTTTATCCTTTCCTGAACAAGGTAACACAGGAGAGGTAGAGGGCATAACAGGTGTCCGGTTACCAGTTGGTTTTTTCCCACATGCACTCAAGTTTACCGGCAAAGAAAAGGGGGCACTACTAGAAATGGCTACACTTTCATTGATCTTGGTCTGGGATTTCAGTTTCGTAGTAAGTGCAAGAGGAGCCTCCTGGATGACGCTCTGAATAACTCCATTGGGTTGGTGATTACCTAAAAGTGCATTTGTCAGGAATGGATTAGAATGGTTGTTTTCCAAGGATGTGAGTTTTTGATGAGCTGGTGAACTAGATGTTGGTTTGGGGCTTGACAAAGCTGCAATAACCTTCTTCAGGTTCTTAGATGATTCCTGTTTCTTTAGCTGTGCTGCTGGGAATGTCTGTTTACATTGTTCCTAAAGAAATAAGAAGACAAAGGAATAAAATGTGGACTTTTTTTTTTTTCCCCCCCCCCCCCCGCCCCCCCATATTCAGGCAGGTGAACTGTATGAAATCTTAAACATCTGCTAAGCTATTTTTCGTAGGTCAAAAGTAGGTGCTAGCTACAACAGAAGAGATGAGTAACTACAAGTTATGCAAGTCTCGTGATTTTCACTGTAAATCAAGTAGGAAAAGACAAATTGAACTCAAAATGAAGCTGATCTGAATTATGTAAGGAAGCTTTTTCACTTGCTACATCACTCTAGACAGTGATTTTCATAAAGATATTAAGCATCTTGAAAAAATAAATTTTTAAAAGGAGACTACTCTTATGTACTGGCATAGGAAAAACACCACTTTCTACTCATTTCAGCATATAAAAACTCATTGGTGAATGTAAAAATCGTTTTAGTAATTTGTTCATTTTAAAGCACGAGGTAAATACAACACACTAACAACTACAATACTAACAGAAAACCAAAAGAAGGTTCTTGGCATAGAAAAATTTTATCAAAAAAAAAAAAGAGAGAGAGAAAAAAGGTATTACTGGAAAGTATTGTGATACGCTAGTTTTTTAACTCTGAAAAAGTAGTACTTGAAAGTTCTTCAGATAAAAACTAATCAGTAGTGGCTCAGAAATACATGTAAAGCTTACACTGTCTTTAGTCTCAAGACTCTTCCAAGGAAAAAGAAAATACATCATCTTTGATGGAAAAAAGTAATAGAATGGATAAAGATGGTACATTCTAAATCAATTTTTAAATATTAAGTCAAATACAATATATTCTTGAAGTTACTAACATTCAAAACTGAATATGAAATTATGAAAACCTATAAAAGAAATATTCACACAGTGCATGTTTCCATTAAAAGTTTTAAAGAAATCAAACCACTAAATGGTGATGTATCCTCAGCTGAAGACTCATAACCTAAATTTGACAGCAGAAGCCTCTTCCAATGGCAAAGACATATGTTTTCATAATTATAATTTATTTAACCATTTCAGGTAAATGACTAGCTTATTTGAGTTTTACGAAGTAACTGGGAGTTGAGAGGAAAAATAGTCTTTCTCTTCTGGTCTAGGAATAAAAACTATGTGATAAAAATATTTTTCAGTCCTCACTGAGGACTGTGAGTCAGAGTTCAGTTTACTCTTCACCAGTACTACTTAGTTTAAAACAAAATTTGTTTTTAATAATGAAACTTGCCTTGGTAACTGTACTTTTTTTTTCTTCCTCTCTCTCTCTCTCTCGCCTTAAGATTTCTAAAATACTAGATTTTTATTCTCTAATCCCCATTCAAATCTAACTGAATAGAAATCATGAGAATTCATCACTAGTCACCATAATCACTATTAACAAAATAAACTGAGAATCTACAAAGAATTTTTGTAAGCAACAGAACTGTTAACACAGACACATGTAAATATATTGTAGAGTCCTGACCAGTAAAAAGGAAGATCAAATTTACTGCAATGGCCATACTGAGTTTTAATAGCTATCAGTGCATGAATATCCTTCTGTCTTTAAAGAGCAAACAAAACCCAAGATTAAATCAAACATTTTTTTTAAAAAAGGCTTTCAGTTACTTTATTTAAAATCATGATTAAAATAGGTAATTTTAATTACTTTGACTTAAAACTATCCAACTTGAAACAAAGCAAAGCCATGATAACATACTAGATATGGAAAGTATTAAATCAGCGTTCTGACTGAAACTAGGAGAAGCATAGGAAAAATATCCAGGCCACACAATTTACCCATGAGTACTTTTCTTATTTTGATAATGATTTTAGCTGCTCATTTTCCTGAAGAGATGCATGACAAAATCCTTTGCTTTCTTTGTACCCATTATTCTCACCAGTACACCAATTGCTTTCAGCAGAGCTGTAAAGTTCCACTATGTGATGAGCATGAAACTCAAGGTTGTCATTATGTGACAGTAAGTTGTGTATGATTACATCATGTATACATTAGGGTATGCATACTTGCACATGCACCACCAAGTAGATAACTTTTCTCCGAGATAAAGTTATGGAATAGTTCAGGGCACTTGTAATGTACAGTGAATCATCTCTAAAATTAAAGCATAATATTTGCTGCTCTTTAAAACAAACAAACAAAACAACAACAAAAAAACCCAAAACCAAAAAACCAACCACTACAGTTCAGAACATATACTACTCACACAATTTAATTTACATCATTCAGAAATCCGCATCAACTCTAAAAACACGTCAAAAAAATATGATGTGAAAATAAATATACGTATAATTTAAAAACATTATATTTGAAAGAGCTTGATAGCATAATGTTGCATCTTGTTAAGCAGGCAACACAGGTTACAAATAACCAAGAAAACCAGTGATTTTTCACTCACCCGTTTTGATCTTACATCGCTGGTCAAAGAGAGAGATTCTTCAGAGGTATTTTTATTCCCTGCTTTGAGTAGATCAGGGGAAGGAACTATGAGTTTTAAATAGGTTTCCTTTTTGGCTTGATGTACCAAAGACAAAGGTTTCACATTGGGAACCAATCCCGTAGACTGTATTACACTTGTGTGTTTGTTCACAGATTCCTCCTTTGCCTGAGAGCTTTGGAAAATAAACGGAAGCTGCTGTGACAAAACCTGAGGCTGCTTCTGCTGGGACTGGAATGATGAGTGAGTCTGGGAATCAGACACAAGAGGTATCTGCTGGTGTGTTCTTTTTTCTTGGGACTTTTCATGTTGTTTTTGTCCATCAGTTTTCATATCTGTTACGCCACTATGCATTAGCACCTGCAAAATAATGTATTTTTGACTGTTCATATTAGATCAATTAAAGACCCTTCCAGGAAAAAAAAAAGTACATCATCAGTCTCCATGAAACTATTATGCTATTCTTGGCAGAGGATGAACAATAATAATTTTAAAATCAATCTTGTCATATATTTATTGTTTAGGGTTTTTTTTCCCCAGATAGTTTCAGCATGTGAAGACAATGCTTAGTAGAGAAGAACTACTAAACCATGGTTGTTTTTAAATGTATTTTTGACTGTAAACCTAACAGGATACCCAAGATTCCAAGCTTGTTCTTCTATTGGCTACCAGGAAAAGTAACCACTGTACTAGGAAAAAAGCAACTGCCAAAGCAGTATCCATAGAAAGATGTATTTCCAATACACTATCAGCACACAGCACTTAATGTCTTTGTATTTCCCACTTTATAACAAAAGTAACAGTCTAACTGTTAAACTCCTAACCCATAAAGAACACCACCACACACACATGCACGCACGCCAAGGAAGCAAAGAAACTCCAGAAAACCCTGAAGCAAAACCAAAAAGAGTATTCTTAGCATTCATTAATGTGTAGTTAAATAATTGCTCACTGGTACAAATGTGAACACGTCAATTTTTCATGAACAGCTTTCAGTGACAAGACTGTGAGCAGAGTGAGGTATCATACCTTGTTCTTGGTTTTGTGATGTGCTTCGTTTTCAGAATCAGATTCATCATCTTCACTCTCTTCAGCACTCTGGTCCTCCTCCTCCTCTTCATCCTCCTCTAGATCATCAGAGTCACTACTACTTATGCCTTCACTTGAGGTGTCTGAAGAGGACCCCGAATCACTGTCGCTGTTACTAGAGCTTTCCACTGCTTTTTTTCTGGGCTTCTACCAGGAAGATGAATGCTCTATTAATGGTTCAGCTTTAATCTATGATATCATCTTATTACTATGCATAATCTTTAAAACAAAAAACAGTAAGACTTTGGAGTAAAGTGATTTGCAATCCTTGAACACAACTGACTGTCTTTGCAGAAGAATGGAGAGGAAGAAGTGCTTCACAAGATGATGAAAATGAAAAACAGGTCACGAAGTTCCACTAAAGTATTTTTCTGACCACACGCACTGTCAGAACAGTTGGCATAACTACATTTCAAAGCAATGTATCAAATTTAGGCCTAGAAAATGGGCCTGGAATTCACATCCAGCAAACCTCGACAGAATGTACTGCTTCAAAAAAAAATTAAAACCAAAAGCTTTATTGCAAACTAACATAGAAAGAACAATACGTATTAGATTCATCAATATATTTCAGTGACACATTCATTTAACTACATTACTTAACTTGCAATTTCACAGTATGCACTGTTCAGCAATGTAAGCTTTTGAGGACTGAGAAGAGTATGCTCATCAAATTGCTTCTGGGATCTGCTTCTGAAAAATGGGACCAAAATCTGCTGAAATACTCTGACATCTATATTATATTTAAATTCTTGGAAAGAACAAATTTGCAGACCAGAATGGGAAAGTAAAAGAAGCAACACACAAGAATGTAGAAAAAGAAGAAAGGTGTAAAAACCAAAGGAACTCCAAAATGTTGACACTACAAGACCAGATTTTAAAGTGCAATGAATCAGGACAGTTAGCTTTTTGGGAAGCTAACTAAAACGAATCTGTGTATTTTACAAACACATCTGAAGGAGGTACATATGGACTCGAGTATTACGATGGTGGCTACGTGAAAGACATGAAAGTATGTATTACTGCATTAAAGCCTATTTAATCATTAAAAAGAGTTCGCAGAATGATGCTGGAAGGTAGAGAAACGTGATTACAGATGTCAGGTAGCAGCAGCAAAGTGTTACGTAGCATCTAAACAGGGCACATGGAGTCAGTGAGGGAATTGCAAGGTTAAAATTAGTCAAAAGGACAAAAGGTGGACAACAAAAGTAGGTGACTAGAGGGCAAAAAAGTTGCAGCAATTCTAGATAACAATGCAGACAGGAGCATCAGAGAAACAGTACTTTAAAAATATACACTCTCTTAAGAAAACTTTCCCCGAAAGTTTACTTTTCAAATCTACTTTTTTATGGTAGGTGTATTATAAAACAAGAGGCTAAAAAGAAAGAGCGATTTTATGTCAAAAATCCCTGTCTTATGAAGAAGAAATGCACTTAAATTAGTGGGAGAACATAACAAGCTTATTCTTATAAGTGGGTGTACTGGTTTTGGATGGGATAGAGTTAATTTTTTTATAGTAGCTCCTATGGTGCTATGTTTTGGATAGTGACCAGAAGAGTGTTGATAATACAGGGATGTTTTAGTTACTCCTGAGCAGCACTTGCACAGCCTCAAGGCCTTTTCCACTCCTCACACTGCCCTGCCAGCGAGCAGGCTGGGGGTGCACAAAGAGTTCAGAGGGGACACAGCCGGGATAGCTGATCAACCCCAACTGACCAAAGGGATATCCCATACCATATGGCATCGTGCTCAGCAATAAAAGCTGGTCGAAAGAAGGAGGAAGTGGGGGGACTTAAGGCATTTGTCTTCCCAATCCACCGTTACGCGTGATGAATCCCTGCTTTCCTGGAGATGGCTGAACACCTGCCTGCTGATGGGAAGCAGTGAATGAATTCCTTGGTTTGCTTTGCTTGCACATGCAGCTTTTGCTTTCTTCATTTAACTGCCTGTATCTCAAGCCACAAGTTTTCGCACTTTTACCCTTCAGTTCTCTCCCCATCCCACTGGGAGGGGAGTGAGCGAGCAGCTGCATGGGGCTGAGCTGCCCACCGGGGTTAAACCACAACAATAGGATTTAATTTACTTTGTGAATAAGCTATGAAACGTGGAAGCTGTAAGGTGCATTAAGTCTCATCTATTTGTCAATTGGCTGGTATCTGTATCTTTTTTATTAAACTAGGTTCTCTTTATCGATTCCTGTGATGAACACGGTAATACTTCATATCATCATACCTTCTGCATACTGTCACATGCATTGCTTCACTGTTGGGAAATCTTAAGAATTTAAATGTCTTTATTTGAATTTATTGTTTCACTGCTCAAGTCAGAAAGGTGTCAGTTGATACTTCACATGAGGGACAACGACCTGAATGTATGCAGACAAAAAATAACAGACCTCAGTAACTGTGCCGGTCTATGGTAGGTCCTGTATGTTTCACTCCTGGTGTCCTTTACATCATATTTAAGTATCTTCCTGTCTAATATTTGGCACAGATGCAGAATATTTCTTCATGAAGGTTAAGACCATAAAATGAAGGACAAGACCATGATCTGAAGCAGTAAAAGTAACAATGCCTCCTGGAATCACATCTCTAGGATTCTATTCTAGTTTTTCCCCTTCATGGTTCTCTATTTATCTCTGTATGTGGAAAAGGAAACACCCAAAACACTACAATAATACTAAAATCAGAAATACCCAGTTTATTCACGGTGCTGATGAAATACATATTCATAACATCAGCTTCTTAAGAGATGCATGTAACAGTCTGGAAAAAGAAGAGTATGTCAATGGGCTTACTTAGCTGATAGCGTTTACTTCCACTCATCAAGACTTTAAAACTTTTGCTGTCCGTCTAGCTTTAACAAAATGTGTTAGCTGCTGTATCCTACAAACCTATCTTTTCATACTGCAGACAAGAAAGTAAGAAAATTACCATATCAAGAAAGGAGTCAGGAACATTCTTGTGAAAAGGGAGGCGGCAAGTGCCAAGCAACATCCAACACACAAGTCTGATTCACAAAGAACTACCTCAAGTAAAAAAAGGGACAGCTAATTTTGACATAAAATTTAGTATAACTTGTAAACAATCAAATGCTTTAAAACAAAACAGGCATTTAACTACATTATGAAACACAACTGCTTTCCGGGGAGTTTCTACTTCATAAACAAATAGAATCTCTTTTGACATAGATAAAACCAATACAAAGAAGTTGGATTAGTAGGATTCCCCACGAGGGGATGGCAAATTAGTAGCTTAGAGAAAATGTAATGATAGGGAAAATTTAAACTCGTGCATTTAGTGGATATGAAAGGATTAATCTTGATGGAGAAGTTTCTATCAGATCCAGCATAAAAGGTAAAGCAGCTGAGGGGAAAAAAAAAAAAAAAACCAGTAAACTGCATAGAGAAGAAATAATTCAGACTAAATCAAATAATGTAAGCCAGAAGGAGAAAAAGATAACTGTAAAGAAAAATCTCTCTGTAAAGACATTTAGAACAACAAAAAATACTTGAAAGAAATTCTAAAAGCTTGCTGACACAAAAGAAAACAGTCAAGAAAGAGAAGGAAAAGTACACACCAAAAAGTAAGTAGTTCTACTTCAGCTGAAATATATTAGACAGAAAAAAAGAGAGCATTAGACTTCTGAAGACATACGTAAGACCAGGCAGATATTTATAGAATATAAAAAAATATATTATTTAGAAAAAGATAATAAAAGACTCTTCAAGAAATACGCTCAATAAAAAAATTATTATTAAGTTATATTAAAAGAGCAAATTTCACTTTGACTAGTTCCTCTATTGGCAACAATATAGTCATAAAAGTTGAAGCAAGAGTGCGTTCAATTAAAATAAATTTCATATTTGATTTTGGTTCACTGACTTTGCCAAACTGCTGGATGGTTATGCTAATTGAAAATGTCCATTGTTCAGGAAGCAATAATCTAGACTGAATACGAATACCAAGAAAAGTAGCCCAACCTTAAAGACCCAGTGGGATAGTCCCATAAAAAGGTGACTGAAGTGACAGTTTAAAAGATTTTAGTCATGATTTCAAATTACTGAAGTTTATAAAGGAAATACAACATGGTAATTGCCAAGAAGAGATATTAAAGGCAAACGATGTGACTGCAGTTAATAACCCAGCATCCCGATGCTAATTCTGGAATCCAGGTAAGTAAAAGCCCCCCGTGCAAGACCTTGGAGTAGATTCCTATCTCACCAGCTGCCCATAATGGAAGGGGACTTTCTCTAACCCAAATGAGACTCCAGTTCACCAGTTGTGCCTTCTTTCCCTGGAGACTGTTGCTTTACCAATGTAAGAATCCTACTAACCTTCCTCATCCTAGAAATTCACTAATGCGAATCAATAGAGGGGCAGTCAGTTTTACATTTCTTTTGTGAGGCTGAAGCAGCACATTCAGATGAATGATTATTGATAAAGTGTATCTGCTTATTCAGTTTTATCTTGGCCACAAACAGGGCAGGCTTAAAAGAAGACAATTACAGCATGCTAATGTTATCAACACAGTGACCAACAGAGCAAAGTAAAAAGGTAACGCAGTTCCCAAATTTTTGTATGTTAAGAAATGTCATGGACAGTATATCAGATCATCACGATGACATCTATCTTCAATGCAACATCATTATGCTCAACAGACGTAACATGGTACGCCACAAATATACAGTGATGAGTGAGGATTTGGCACAATTTTAAACTCATGTTTTGGACAGATTCTGGTTTATCATTGTCTGATATGTATAGCCTTCTGAATGGTCAAATACACACCCTAGACAAAAGGAACTGGATAAGAACTACTAATAACTACAGCTTTGAACAACAGATGCTTCTATCAACTCAGAAGTTCTTTTTCACACACTCCAGGCAAAGAAATTTATATAATACAAGTTACTACCAGATTGCACTTTAGGATTCCCTAAGATGGTAGGACAACAGAACCACAATTCAACCAGAAATGTTTCAAAGAAAACACTGCACAATAACTAACTCTTTAGATTTTCACCAACTGTACAAACAGCTCGGTATCAGCTTTGCCTTTCTTCTGTTTAAAAAGAAATTTTTTAAATATCAACCTCAAAAGAAAATTACAACTAAGGATATGATTGAAGAAATCAGCAGATGAATAATAAAAAAATAAAACCCTAAAGAAAGGAACATTTAGAGAAGTATAACGAAAATGTTTTAAAATAAACTGTGCTCTTCAGAAAAAGAGTTTTGTTAAACTTTGAAATTTAAAAACGTAGCATCACTTGTACAAAGTCCAGCATAAAATACTCCAACTACCTACTGTCCCCTGCTTACTCCTCTGCCTTCAGTTCCAGTTGTGGCTTCATTCTAACATACCAAAATAAAAATACTGATTGTTGTTTGGTTTTTTTTTAAATCAAATCTCTTCATCTTCTCCTCATGTTGGTGTTCTCATTCAGAGTGTTCTGTATGTTTTCACAGTAAAGCTTATTCAAATCATTATGCATAGACAAATACCAATTACCTCAAAAAGTTTCAGAGCAAAAGGAGTTAAGAATAAGGATTAGAGGAACGTCTCGAATGTCAGCATATCAAGAACAGGAACAAACTCACTCCACTCCAGTTTTAGAAAAACTACTACAAGAACATAGGAAGCAGAACTGTTGACAACCTGAAATTTATCTGCATTAGACAGATGATTTAAATGTTAAGATAGAAAACTAAATAAATTTAAGAAAGGAAGTATACTAATTGATTGAGTACATTGTTTTAGAGCAACTCAGTTATTTAGCAAATTGAAACTGGAGTTTGAAATCAGTACCCACATCAAAAGAAAATGTAACAAAGATACAGAACTTATACTTAAAGACAAATGCTAATACAAAGGAGAAGGTAACAATGCTGACAAACATCCTGACTGAAATTTGAAAACAAGGCAAAAAGAGGTGAAATTTTCAGTGATACTCCTATTAACAAGTAACTAACTTAAGCAGCTCATTATCCTGAATAAGGCAAAAAGCCAAAAACTGAAGAGAAAAGAGTCTGTTCATTTACTTATGATATAAACTTTTCGGAAGCTATTTGGAGATATTAATAGATAGTAATTTATTTGGTATTCTGCATAACTGCAGTAATAGTCAGAAACGCAGAGACATTATCTGGAAAAAGGTTTACTTCTGCACCGTAGAAACAAAGCTTACGTTTTGCACATATATATCATAGAATAGTTTGGGTCGGAAGGGACCTCTAAAGGTCATCTAGTCCAACCCCCCTGCTGTGGGCAGGGACATCTTCAACTAGATCAGGTTGCTCAGAGCCCTGTCCAACCTGACCTGGAATGTTTCCAGCGCTGGGGCATCCACCATCTCTCTGGGCAACCTGTTCCAGTGTTTCACCACCCTCAGCATAAAAAATGCCTTCCTTATATCTAGTCTATATCTACCCCCCTTTAGTTTCAAGCCATTCCCCCTTATCCTGTCGCAACAGGCCCTGCTAAAGAGTTTGCCGCCATCTTTTTTATAAGCCCCCTTGAAGTACTGATAGGCTGCAATAAGGTCTCCCCGAAGCCTTCTCTTCTCTAGGCTGAACAGCCCCAACTCTCTCAGCCCTTCCTAGGAGAGGTGTTCCATCCCCCTGATCATTTTCGTGGCCCTCTTCTGGACCCGCTCCAACAGGTCTGTGTCTTTCTTATGCTGAGGGCTCCAGAGCTGGACGCAGTACTCCAGCTGGGGTCTCCCCAGAGCAGAGTAGAGGGGCAGAATCGCCTCCCTCGACCTGCTGGCCACGCTGCTTCTGATGCAGCCCAGGATACGATTGGCCTTCTGGGCTGCGAGCACGCATTGCTGGCTCATGTCCAGCTTTTCATCCACCAGT